CTCTCTCTCTCTCTCTCTCTCTCTCTCTCTCTCTTTCTTTCTTTCTTTTATGGCCTTGAAAGATTATGGGGCAGTTACTCTGCAGAACATTCTTCCTCATCCCACTCAGGCTATGATTCCCCACAGGCAAACCCTCCTTGACAGGTTCTCACTTGCTGTGCTCATTCTCTGACAGCCCATGCCAGGTTCTCTCTCCACATGGACACTCACTTCACCCTGTCTGAGCTCCAGCACTGTGGGCCCCTTCCTCTTCTAGTACATTGCTTACCATTTTTTTTTTTTTTTGCCCAACTCTTGGTTTGAGGGCAGAATCTTGGAGGAAGGGAAAGGGATACAGAGATTAGATGTCATTTAAGATCACATCCACTTCCAGTGTTCTATGACAGATAAAGTAATATGGTTAAATATTGGCAAGCCCAGGCTCAGAAAATGAGGTCGAGATCATTGGAACAAATGACCATGCCTAAAGGAATCATCGAGGCTAGAGCAAAGTGAGGCTATAGCAAAGTGAGGCCCTGAGTAACTCAGTCTGGGGGTACATATGGCACACTGGGAAGTATGACTGAAAGCACAAGATCTGAGCATGAACAAAGAATTCAGGATATGCTTACCCATGGTGCCCCCCAAAAGGAAGGGGAGACGATGGTGGATGTTGCCCCGAAAGCAATAAATATTCATTAGGGTAGGTCAGGCAAGAAAGGAAAATATTTAACAATATTAATCAGCAAGAATCTTAATACACATCAGAGAGATTAGTGATCTTATGCATTGTGGGAACGATTAATCTAGCCTAAGTAATACTGTACTGATGATCACATAGTATTACTTACTGTTACAAATGCCATGAACCTGATGCCGTGAACTCACCAACTGCGAAGCCAATGCCAGCATTTATGTAATTAATGTTATGCTGCCATCCTTTGGTTGAATTTAAAATGGCTTCTCTACTAATCAAAACTATTTTGATATATTCTCAACACACAGAGGGTATCCTGACTTTAATTATAGTACTACTTTCTTAGATAAATAGTAATGATAAATAAATAATTTATGAAAATAGGAAATAAATAAAAATATACATTTATTGTTATGGTTTGGGTATGAGGTGACCCCAAAAGCTCTTGTGTAAAATCAGGAGTGTTCAGAGGTAAAATGATTGGATTGCATGAGCTCTAAACTAATCAGTCCACCCTAGTTTGAATGGACTGACTGGTAACTGTAGATAGGTATGGCATAGATGGGGGAGGTGGGTCACTGGGGACATGACCTGGAAGGGTGTGTCTTCCTTGTGGCTTCTCTTCACCTCTGCTTCCTGATCCCACCATGAACTGAGCAGCTTTCCTCTGCTAAGCCCTTCCACCATGATGTGCTGCCTCACCTTTGGCCCATAGTAATGGAGTCAGCCATCTATGGACTGAGACCTCTGAATTCCTGAGTCCCAAATACACTTTCCCTCCTTTAAGTTGTTCTTGTTGGGTATTTGAGTCACAGTGACACAAGTTGACTAATACATTTCTACATTAATTTAAAAGTCTTCAAAAACCTCAAATTTCTAGTTAAAAATAGACTGCTACCACTAGGCCTTGACTTGCTTCAAAGACTTTTCTCATGCACAGTGATACTATTTAGATCCTTTTTCGTCACTATGACACTTTTCTATTGTTTTTTTTCCTAGTTTGATATAAGCATGCAGTGAATTTCCTTATAAAATAAGCATGCTTTTATGAAAAAAATTAATATTTTAATATTTATTTTACATTAAATTTTAAAATAAAATATATTAAAATGTGTAATTTTTTAACAAAATTATATTTTATTTTTAGTCTTTTAGGTCAGGGTCCAGCGTACTTTTTTTTTTTTAAAAAAAGACCAATGGTAACTATTTTAGGTTTTGCAGACTATTTAGTTTTGTCAACTCTGCTATTGTAGCCTGAAAGTGTCATAAACAATATATTTAAAATGTGCATGGTTATATTCCAATAAAACCTAATTCACAAAAATCAGATGTGGGCCAGATTTACCCCATAGATTATAGGTTGTCATCTCCTACTTTAATTTTGACAGAACTTCCAGCCATGAGGAACGACCAGATTTATCTTCTCACTTTAAACAACTAAAAACTGAATAAAATATAAGAGAATGTTTTTTTCAGACAATAGACAACAGGAAGCATAGGATAATCATTCTTGAGGAAAAGTAAGGAATACAATGAGTCCTATAATTGTTCCAGCCTACTCTGGGAAGAGAGTTTCTTGGCTGCAGTGCAAGGAAGAGAAAAGCCAAATGGGTGAGGATTTCATGAGATGGTAAGTCAGAGGTTTGAGTTTAGGAAGCAGATAGAGATTTGAAGGACAAGATTTTGAAGAAAATATTGCCCTACAGAGAGAGACTTGGATATAAAGGGACATTCACAAAGATCTCTAGAAGTGCCTGTAGGAGTCTTTAGCTGATAGGTAATCTCTTCATGCATGTGAAAGAATTACCCATAACTGAGGAAAGAACACCCAGAAAGGAGATGTGCTGGAAATAGTCTATGTTTCCCCCTGCCCGAGAGTAAAGACTTTCTAATACAGGAAACATTGAATAGAGTCCTCACAAGAATGTATCCTTGGTGTAGGATATATTGCCCTGGACTATTAAATCTGCCTCTCCTATGCAAAGAAAGCTTAAGGGCAAATCTTAAAGGAATCAAACAGATTTCAAGTCACCACATCCTAAAATAAAGTCTGACAACATTTTAAGGTCTTAACAAGTTCAGTACCCAGTAAAATAAAATTTGTAATGTTCAGAATCCAATGAAAAGTTACCAGGCATGAAAAAAAAACCCACATGAAAATAAGACACATAAACAGTAAGAAAAATATAATTCAAAGAACCAGACCTAGAAATAACACAAATTATCAAACAAGGAAGTTAAAACACACTATAAATTACCTTATTAGTTAGTCCTAGGAAGTAAAGGAAAGCAAGAAATGATATCAAAAAGAAACAAATTCAACACCTAGAGATAAAGAATATATCTTATATGATAAATGTACTTGATCAACTGAAGAGTAGATAACATATTACAGAAGAAAATATCAATGAACTTGAAGACAGACGTAGAAAGTATGAACGATAAGATCATAAGTTCAAAGCAAGCCTGGGCAACTTAGTGAAACCTTGTCTCAAAAAATAAAGTGGAGTTGGGGTGGGAGTTGTCTGGGGATGTAGTTGAGCACCCTGGGTTCAATCCACAGTCACACACACACACACACACACACACACACACACACACACAATAAATAAATAAATAAATAAATAAATAAATAAATAAATAAAAGATTTACCATTAAGTCTTCTCTCTGGTTGTCTATCTGTGTGTCACTCACTCTTTCTGGGGGTAAGCTGACAATTGATTCTATTTAATGATACCAGACTAAGTGATACCAACACAGAGTTGAGCTAGTATAAATGAGATTACACATGTGTTTGTTTTCAACACTTGGGGATTCACCCAACAGATTCCTGAAAAGAATTAATCAAAAAAAAAGATTTAATATCCTATATTGCTTCGTGGCAGAACATATAAATTCACTCTAAATCAACACTTATTCATGAAACATCTACTATTGTTGTATGGATAGTAAAAAGTATGAGTGTTTATTATATCTTCTTCTGAGGGTTTTAACCTTGGGAGCTTGTAAATAAAAAGGTACAAAGTGTTGTGGGAAGAGTGTAATTATAGCTCCTGGGAGAGATCTGGGCTTCAAAGGGCAAGTAGTGCTTAGTCTTTGCATAGACAAATCCTCAGTGGAGGAGGAAAACAAGGAAACGTTTCAGAGAAAATGTAATCAATGAACACAAACATACCATACACACAGCACAATATATAATATTAGGGCAATAGTGAGTCCTTTTCTCCATCTTAAGTTTGGGTTCCCTCACACTCTATTTAGAGCAATAGTGGGAAGATGGGAAAAATAGCTTGGGGGCTTATGCAGGTGGAACATAGAAGACGGAACTTGGTGTTTGTCATGCAAGAGGAATTATTGAAGCAGAGGTGTTCCCATTAGTTTACCATACCTATTGCTATCCTGGGGAATATAGATGAACTAACTATCACTAAATTTCTTCTGAGGCATATTTTATCACTTAGAATGTTTCATAACATTTCATTATATGGGGGAACAAAACTATATGTAACCATTCTCCTGTTGTGGAACCTGAAGTTTGTTTCTATGATTCTGCTACTACTGTAGTATCCTAACAGCCTTCTTTTACTATATTTTACTCTTTCACATATGCCATACACTTAGATTTTAGATATTACACTGATTGGACAAGATATAAAGCAATCTAAAATTGCTGATACATATTTTAAGATTATTTGCTCAAGCATTTATGAAAAATCAGTTATATTTAACACTTTCAATTTAGTAATCTGCATGGATTTTAATTTTTGTCTTTGAGTGCCATGTAGGTGCTTCTGAGTCTCTGATAAATATTTCCTCATGAAAGACTACAGTTTTCAAAAAAAGTTTTACTCTCAATTAAAAAAAAACTTTAATAGGGTTGACTAAATATTTAGAAAGCACATTGTGTTAAGTGAAACTTTGTATATAATAAATAATGTGGGTAACAGAAGATCATCTTGGATGACTAGTCTGTAATTGTCTCAATAAAAGCACACAGTGAGACAAGTTCTTTTGGTTACTTCCTCAAACAACCAACACAATGGGGAAAGTGGAGGAAGTGATCCATGAACAGCACAAAAAGGGAACCAGAAAACTTGACGTGTAAACTTGGAGAAATGACAACAATTAGAATCAAACCCAACAACAACAACGACAAAAAAAAAAAAAAAACTCCAGAATAAGTAAGAAGCATGAAAAACAAACATTCCCTAGTACTGGAGTTTAACTAGGTCTGCTTAAGAGATAAGTAGCATATTTGACCTTCACCATGATTCACAAGCAGTTCCCTGGCCTTGTGTTAGTGCTACTGGTCTTCTTTGTAGAACTGAAACTAGTTCTCCTCCAACAAAGAATAAAGGAAGAGAATTTACAACTACTGAATAATTTGCAAACCTCATCGATCCAGCAGTGTCTGCCATACAGGAAGAATTTCCGGCTTCCTCAGAATTCTGTGAATTTTCACCAGTACCCAAAAGGGCATGTACTGGCCATTCTCCATGAGATGCTTCAGCAGATCTTCAACCTCTTCAAGAAAAATATTTCTCTGGGCAGTAGGGAGGAAAACCACATTCCAATATTCCTCACTGATCTTCATCAACAACTAGAATACCTGGAAACACTCTTGGGATTGGAAGCAGAACAGAAAAGTCATGCCCAAGGGAGTAAGAACCTTAGATTGCAGGTTAAAGCATACTTTCGAAGGATCCATAATTACCTGGAAAGCCAGCGACACAGCAGTTGTGCCTGGACCATTGTTCATGCAGAAATCAACCGGTGTCTGGTCTTTGTATTCAGACTCATCAGACAAGAAATAGACCCTTGACCGGTGTGGAGCAAGAGCCAACCATAGACTTTAAGTGGATAAGGTTGGTGGAAGAGCAAGAGGGCATATGTAGATCATTATTTTTGCCATAAAATGATAGCCTTGTTTTGGCTTTGTGTGTGTATATATATAACAAATTGAGTTTTAATTTTATGTATAATTGACTGTGATTGTTTTTATTTTGCCATGCCACTTTATTTTATTAAACTGTGAGTCACAATAAATTCATTAATAATTCTAATTGGTTCCTCAAATTGATATGTTGTCATAGAAGTTGGTGGGTAGATAGAATGAATATCCAAAACTTGCATGTTTGTAAAATGACTTAGATTTAATATTCACTGCAGCATTATTTATAATATCTAAATATAGGAAGCCACCTGAATTATTCTAAATAGAGATAGTTAAGCTGTATTCACATAAAGGGATATCACTCAGCTAGAGAAAAGAATGAGGAGCCTCTTTCTAGTCTAAAAAGAGTAAAGAAAAGAAAAAGAAAGGCAAGATACAGAATAGTGCATATAAAATGTTGGGTAAAATGTAAAATAAATTTAATTTACTGTGTAAAAATAAAGAAATAAATTTCAATGATTATCTGTATTTGTGAAAAAGGAGGGCAAACTGAGAGAAGAAGACAGTAAAGGAAAGATTTACACTTCATTTTTATATTTTATTTTTGAATTATGTGACTATTACAAGTTAAAATAATACTTTAGAATGTATCTAACAAGTCACAGTTATCGGAAATATGCATGAAGGAGTTTTGTTGGTGAAAGGTCAGAAGAAACAGGATGGGCCAGCCTGCCCTTGGTTGGGATAGCTGGGAGGCAGAAGGCTGGAGAGAAGTGGAGAGTTGGAGCCATGTCAAGGGAGAGAGTTCCAGCTCCCTGGAGATGCTGCTGATGAAGAAATTATAGCTCTTCTAACTAGGAGCCCTCAGAAATCATCATGGATCAAATGTGGGGCCAGATCACTGAACTTCCTTGAGACTTGGTGACTTTCCCACATTGGCCCCGTGTAGGCAACATAACCATAGTCCCAAACTTCAGAACTAGTTTCACCACTTTATGTAACATTCTGTTCAGATTTGTTGCATGATTCAAGACAAAAGTAGTTATTGAAAGTAAAAACTTGCTGAGGTACAAAACATATTCCAGTTCAGTTTAATTAGTGCAATTAAGTAGATTAACTATTGCCTGATGATTCTAGATTTAATTTGAAAGAGAAGGGTAGGAATTGACTAAAATACTAGAAATGAGACAGTTACCTATGGCAGTTAAAGGAGGCCAGGAAGCAGAGGCTGACAGTCAGAGACAGTTCCTTGCTGACTTCTCACTGAGAGGTGAGCAGGAGCGGACCTGCTTACTCCCAAGTTCACACAGAGAGAGTGACGTGGAGGGAGGAGAGATACCACCCTTGACCACAAATACAAGCCACTTTGTTTCTCATGGGCTGGAGAATTTGTTGTTGTTTTCCTTCTTTAAACCAGGAAGTTTTCAGAACCAAATCCTATATTTAACACATTATTCAATTCTATAATTAACCTTACAAAGTACTTTCTTGTTGTCATTCTCTTTTTTTTTTCTTCAGGTGAAAACAAGATTTTAAAGATAAAATAGAACATGCTCAAAGTAACACAGCAAGTCCCAGAGCCAGCAAATGCCAGAGCAGAGATTACACTCCCAAATTGGCCTGACGCAAAAGCCTACACCATGTTCTTGAAACCACAAACCTGAACAAAATTGTGCAATATTGCTGCAAAACAATTGTATCTCTAATGATAACAAGTTTCTCCTGGCTTTTTCTATTGAAGTTCACAACAAGGTCTGCATTCTTGAATTAAATAAAAGACATTTCCCCTCCTCTAGACATTTCTTCCTCAAGAACTGAAGAGAAATTAAAAGCACATAGGAAAGGGGACAAGAGGGAATAGGCATAGTTACTATCATAAAAGACTGGAATAAAACCTTTTTTGGATCTGGATATCATTCAGATCAGAGAGAGAAAGTAGCTGGGAGAGAGAAAGAGAAAAGATAAAGAGACTCAGAATAGTTCTCCTCTTGGTGAAATTTTGGAGGAGGACCATGGAAATCCTAGGTGAATCCAAAGTGGGTCTTGCTCCTGGATATTCAGGGCATTGCCTGAGATACCAGGTCATGTAGACAACGTGTATTATGCCAGCTTCCACAGGCAATTGTTATGTCCGATTCCATCGGGTGAGATGGGTGGGCACCAAAAAGTCAAAGTGCTGGGATATCTCCATTTTCTTTAACACGTAATGTTCAAGAACACTACCCATGGAAAATTGAGGAAGGAGGGTCACACATAGGAATTTATATGCATCAAGCCACACACACACACAAAAGACACATCTGACTTCTATCCATACTATCTTGACATAAGTTTATTCACATGACCCCAACTAATTTCAAGGGTTGTGGAGTTTAGCTGTTTTATCCAAAAGGAAAGTGAATGGATTTGATGAACACACAAGAGTTTGATGAACTCTTTCTAGATTGTTTATCAAATGCAGTCAACTATATTTAACATCTACTACTAATACTGGTTTACAATCTCTACTCTTAGTTACAAGCTCAGTAGGCACATAAGCTACTTTCTAAAGCAAATGATCATTTTGTACAGGCTTTGTCATTGTTTAATGGGGATATGGTTTTCCTAAATGAAACTATTCATCATGATGATATTATTCACCCCAAAATGTAATGTGCTGTGTTAGTAAGCTCTCTATCACTATAACAAATAATTGAAGTAATCAATTTATAAAGAGAGAAGGTTTATTTTGGCTCACAGTTTTGGAGATTTCAATCCATAATTGATTGGGCTTGTTGCTTTAGGTTTGTGGTGAGGCAACATGTCATGTGGGGACATGTGGAGGAACAAAATTGCTTTCCTCATCTCCAGGAAGCAAAAGAGAGAATGAGAAGAAAAAAGACCACTGTCCCCAATTTCCTTCATAGGCAGGCTCCCAATGACCTAAGAATCACCCACAAAGCTTTACCTCTCAAAGGTACAACCACCTCCCAGTAGCACTACCTTGGCAACCAAGCCCTCAACACATTGACCTTTGAAGAAAATTAACCTACAAAGTATAACATGCACATAATTGAATAAGACATGACTACACACGAATTTTTATAAATTTTCATTCATTCATTCACCCTTTCTTATTTTCATTCATTACATTATATAACTCTTATATGACAAAAGAGACAAGGAGTTACTGATGGGCAACAGAAACCAAAATTCTTATTACATGTGTATTCATAGGCTTCTTTCTTAACACAGGAGTTTTCTCTAAGGAATATACTAAGTTTGTTTTGTTGTTGTTGTTTCTAGGCACTTCTTACGTGCCAAGATGAGGATGATGTATGTGCATTGAAAGGAAAATAGAACTGGAAAATTTGAATGTAAACAAGTAAATGAAGGTTTTACTTTAGAAAGAAGGGAACATTCTGGGTAGTGAGGAAGAATGGGTCTGGGAAAGCAAGAGGATACTGTGATGCTGACCTATGCCCTGGGTGGAGCAGAAGGTAGAATACCCACTCCTAGCTTGGGTCTCTTCTATGCTGATGTCAGCTAAGTGCATATTATTAACCTCAAATTCTTTCTTAAATTAAAAATTATATACTCAGTTGACTACTTGACAACTCTACTTAATGATCTAAACAGCAATTAAAAGTTAGTTTGTTCAAACTGATCTCCTTTCTTTTTCTGTCTTTAAAAAACTTTCCCAAGTTTTTTAGTAGCTGTTCTACATTTGCAGGCTCTCATGTAGTCATTCTTTACCTTTGATTTACATCTGATCTGAGTGCAATTAATATTTTTATCTCATTAAGCCTTTTTATATAGGAACTTCATATCACTCTTTATTTTGAACACAAGTGTGTTAATCAATTGAATTACAATATTAGATTTTTTTGGAACTATTCTGAAATTCCTTGGAAAAAGAATACTTAAGAATCTTTTCTGGCATTTTATTGGTAGCTATACACTCATAGTTTTCTATCTGAAGTGTTCATTACTTTGTTCCATCTTATTTCAACCTTCTTTATTCCTGAAATCTGTTTTATACTAGGCTTAAAAATTAAGTTGTAGAATTTTCTAAATTTCACTTGCTGGGTCAATAATCATGTGTAAATGTTTTGGCATGTTCTTTTCTGATATATTTTTCAATTTACCACTTATTCAAGAGACTTCATTGGAGAATATCTTTTAATTCTAAAATAATTTTGTCCAAAATATTAGGAAAACTAATTAAATAAACCAAACTGGACTCAACAGAAAGGCTCAGAGAGTCCTCCAGAAAATAATATTGGATGATTTCAATATACTTGTCTCACTGATAGGTCATTCCATCATAAAATCAACAAAGAAACTACAGAGCTAAAACACACTTTAAGTCATATGAACTAAATAGACGTCTACAGAATATTTTATCCAACAACAGCAAAGTCCACTTTTTTCAGCTGTTCAGAGAACTTTCTCCAAAATAGGCCATATTTTATGCTATGAAGCAAGCTTTAGAAAATACAAAAAAGTGAAATAGTTTCTTGCATCTTACCAGATAATAATGGAATAAAATTAGAAATCAGCAGCAAAATAAGACACACTAAGTATACAAACACACGGAAATTTAACAATATACTTTCAAATAATTACTGGATCATTAAAGAAATCAGAGGAGAATTTAAAAATTCTTAGAATAAAACAAGAATATAAACATAACACATAAAAATCGCTGGGCATAGCCAAAGTGACTCTAAGAGGAAAGTTTATAGCTATGAGTGCCTACATTAAAAAAATCAAAAAGATCTCAAATAAACAACATAATGATGCATCTCAAAGCACTAGAAAAAAACCAAAAAAAGAATGAACCATTCTCAAAACCAGTAGAAGAAATAATAAAAATCAGGGCTAAAATTAATGAATTAGAGAATAAAAGAATGACACAAAGGATCAATGAAAAAGAGTTTGTTCTTTGAAAAGATAAACAAGATTGATAAACCCTTAGCCAAACTAACAAAATTAAGGAAAAGAAGAATGAAATCAACACAAATCAATAAAA